ATTACGCTCATGGTAACGGAGTTGTTGTTCCGTTGGACTTGCGTTGTTAACACATTGCGGACCGCCCTTATACGAGCATCTCCATACCTTTTTCATGTTTTTCAAAAATGAATCATCATTAATCTATCAACAATTTTATCAGTGATGACACTTATGGTTTCCTGGCTCTGAAAATGAGTGCAAACAGTTCAGGAGCATTGAAAAATGCCAAATAAATCAGATAAAACTATGATCTTTCGTGCGAAATCGTGCGCCACATGGTGGCGCACGCGGTACGCAATGTGTTAAATACCCTATGGGCAAGTTACGGTTGTCTCTAGATGTACGCAAGTGCACTGCACCAGCGGAGGTGTTTTTACGTGATATCGGCGCAGGCTTATCTAACGGAAATTAGGGTACTCCATAGGAACCATGGAGCGGCGGGGTGGATACCCAAGGTAAACGTCAAAGAGGTTGGGTAGATTCGAGATACCCACAACGCAAAAAAAGGCGCACTGTACAAGTGAAAACTGTTAGGAAGTCACGAAACGGTGTGGGAATTGATAGATTGAGCCTTAGGGGAGGGGGTCTCTCTTTCCCTTCACGGCTCAGTCTATCAATCGATAGCGGATATTCCAACGATCTAGCGCAAAGTAGCATCACATCGAAAAAGCAACAAAAAGCAGTTCTCCCCAGCCCTGCGTATATTTCGCGCCTACCATATTCAAAAAATAGACGTGCCCCCCCGACTACCACAGCTCCCACTGCGCGCGTACCGCTTGCAAGAAGTCGAAGTCTCATTCGCTCACATAGCACCGACCATTTGAATGAAATGGAGAACACAACTAGCGCAGTTAAAACAATATCTTGAAGTCAGATTAGACGTGGCTATGGATTTGACCGTGTCGAGTGGCCGTTGTCGCACTTGACAGAAGCCGTGTGGACAGACTATTCGAACATACTTCGTTGGATATCAGCAAAGCATGCTGGAAGCAGTTTATCCGGGAGGCGGTCATAGGCCGGACGCATAGTCGGTCGGACGACAGCAACGACCGCAGTCGCATAAACC